ATTAAGAAATTAAATTAAAAATTTTTCAAAATAGATAGTTAATGTCACTGTCTCAGTAAGCGACGTTTTTTATGCATTATCACAAATCTTGACTAGTATGGTGGAAAATATTTACAATTAAGGAGATTTGTGTAAGCATGTTTTGTAATAAGTTCCTGGAAAGTATCAGATTATTCGGGACTGCATGTCACGTTTCAATCTTATATAGGAATTACATCGATAAGTACTATCGAGAGAATCACTAACTACACATAACATAAAATTAATTAGATTTTTAGTCATACTAAATTTAAACATAGAAATAAGTTCTAGACTTTGTTTTTAGTACGTATTAATTTGTATTCGGAGACAATTTTTTATTAGAGAATATTTTTCAATAGACATATTTTAAGTTTAAAAAATTAATCAATCGTTTTGTAGTTTCAATATTATAGCCATTTATTGGTTAAAATGATAAGTCATATATCAATTGTAGTGTGTAAAAATGTTGTCTTAATTAATTCGGGTAATGTTTAATAATCAGTTTGCAGTTCTAATTCGTAAAATAAGTGTGTAGTTTATAAATAACGTTACAACTGAGGTAGCAAAATTTATTAATAATATTTTGTATTATTATAACTAAATGTAAATAAGTAACTAATATCTAAGAATTGCTATTGGGTGAGACTTTGATTCGAGTTAGTTTTGTAGATAGGTTAGGTCTGAACAAAATTACTCATTGATCAACTCTATGATCAGATTCTGATAACTATTGTTCCCCCTATACACGGGACGATATATAATAAAAAAAAAATAAAAAAATAAAAAAATAAAAAAATAAAAAAATAAAAAAAATTAAAAAAAATTATAACTAATATTGTGGCGGCTCACCGCCACACCGCTGCACTGACGCGGTATAATACGCCGCGGCGCCGCTACGTGCCGCAGGCCGTCTACGATTATGAGCTTGCGGAGACACCGCCAGGTTGCGCAGGGCGGTAGAAGAGTCTTTCTCGCGATCAAGCTTCGATCGAAGGGATAATAAAAGACTGCTCCGCAGATCTTTCCTCACTCACTCGCTTCAAGGCGAGCTCTCTCCAGGGCCCTTGAACTGAGTCGTACTCTGCCTCGGCAGAAT